GACAGAGAACGCGATCGTTTATTAGTGGCACACCATCCAAATGCTGTTGTGTGCGTATGAGTACATGTGCGTAGCAGGGGCCAATAAAAAGAGGTGAGTCATTGATACAGTCGAGCCATCATACACTGATCACTCACGAGAGGTGACTGTCCACTACAAAGACGCCGATTTCGATTCTAGGGATATGAAGAGTTGGTCGAAGAAATGGAGTCTGAGGAAATCTGACAAACGCGAGTGTTAACACAAGTATTGCGATCTGGAGAAAAGCCTGGAGAGGTCCCACTAGCAAGACTCAACCACCAGGGATCTTGAAAGAATACCATCTATCACTTCGGAGGTACATGAAGACAATCAGCATTGGAAGGAATTAAATCTCATAAAACTGGTGGCAACTAGAAGTAACCGGGGCCGTGCTTGTATCTCAAAGTTACCTTGGAAGACGAAATGGACACGTGTTAGAAGACTACTAAACCGCACACTAAACAGCACATCAGGCGTTTAAACGGACGCTTCAAAAAATTGGGCGAAAATTTGAACGGTCTTTGGTGTATGAGCACACGGAAGAAGTCTCAGAAAGGGATTCGAAAAAAGTGTTAATCTAATCACTACCTTATTTCTCCCTATCCAGCCAAGCCCAAGGGAAATTGCGAAATCTTGATATTTCTTTGCCACATGATCAGCACGTGGAAACGTTGGAAGGAAGAGAATGCTGGAGCAATCCATCAATGACCTCACTGCGTTCGAAGTTTAGGTTTTAGAAATCACTGTCTCAAACCAGTAGTAAAGGGTGGTTAAACCCCCCAAAAAAGGATTTATTGAAGGTTGATTACAATTTTGTCGAATGAAAAAAAGATTTTAGTGTGGTTAGAATTAAACTATTGCAATATTCACCGTGATTTGCCCCTCTATCGTTTTAAAATTGGCCTTTTTTAAAAATCATTTCGTTAAATTATCTTCCATTTAAGAAAATTCAAAGATGGCAGCCAATAGGTTTACGAAGTCTTGCAGAAAATCATAAGTTGCAAATGAGGGATTTCGAGATATGCACAGACTTCGACCCGGACACGAGACTTTGAGAGCGCCCGCAGCGACATACCGGTGTGTGTTCACAAATTGTGGACGTCTCTGTGTTAGTGGATTAGTTCGTCTTAAAGGAAGGACTGTTTTCTAGAGATCCCAAAGTTGGCATATTAAGGTAGCTGTGCAAAGTGCAAAGCGGCCACTGAGCTAGGTTCTGTGAAAAATTGTGGGCTTTCACGTCCACCACTCCCGTCTTCAACAGTCCGAGTTTAGCAATCAAGTAGTGGCCTATACTTTTCGCCTCTTCCCCAACACACCTTTGCTGAGGGTTCAAATAAGAGGTCGAGCTGCAACTGGGTCAGCCCTTTACATTCTCCTTGAAGCATCTGCAAATTGTACAAAATCGGCTGACCTGACGTGGATTTGCCTGTCACATCGTGGCTATTGGGGTTAAAGGGCTGGGTACACTCACATTTAACGCTCAGAACTCAATTTTCAGACAAGGCTGTACCGTAAATGGGGATATGCGTCAGATAGGTAACTCCTTTACACGGAACCCTGACCAAAGGTCGTACGGAAGCGGGCATTATCCCGTAACCAGAACGTCCCCTGTGTCAGACTTTGATGTGTTCTCTCAACTTCGGCAAATCTTAAAGTCAGCATTAATTGAAAAGATCTAAATTTACAAGATATTTCACTGTCTTTTGGCTCTTTATGAGGATTAAGAAAAATTACTGAGTACTAGTTGCGGTTATTGTGAGTCGCGTTGCTGCGCACTCGTTAATCCTGTCACACAAGCCTCCGACACAGGGTTCCCCTTTTCACGGTTGTGTCCACGCCCTCTCCGGTCCCCTTCTTCATTGCGCGTATCAGGTAGCGTAATCGGGTTCAAGACCACATGTCGGGGACCACAACACGGTTAGTCAATACGAATTTGCAGCTCGTTGCAACCACTTGTCAAGAGACGTCCTCTTTTTCTCCATTTGTTGGGGATCCACGATTCCCCAAGATTGGTTTCTCATTTTATTTACATTAATTTATTAACATTTGTTTTGTTACGCTCTTATCAAGTCAAGGTCAACCTTGACTTGAGATAGCTTTCAAATTACTTTCGATTTCACGACTTCTCAGCACGTGGCTGGCGTGAATAAAGCTCTCTACTCGAGCTCTGTTCTTGTTCTGGTATTAGCCTGGGAAGGTCGGTTCTAGCTGTCAGCAAGGGATCTGGTACCGTTATTTGAGTGGTATTCTCTATTGTTACGGGCAAACGTAGCACCATTCGAGGAAGCAGTCTTCATTTAAGAAATTTGCACTTTGGCATAAATAAGCTTGCACTGAGTCCTTTGTGATACAGTTGTTAAAGCGACTTCATCTCCATGCACAATATTAAAGAAGGCAAAGTCGAAATTAATTGCAAATAGTCTTGCTTAGACCTACGCGGATGCGAACTCTGTTAACGCACCGATTCGACAGCATATGTGACGTGTTTATCGAATGCCATTTCGTTTTAGGTGTCCTTTGCAAGCCAAAGCAAATGCCTCTGACCTCAATATCTGAGAAATTGGAGCGACAGCCTATCACTTGTGGTTTAAAGGCATGCGTTAATCGACCAAGGGCTCTTCACGAAAGACAGGAGGGTAACCCATTGTTTCACCCTGAAATAAATCAGTTAAAAAAGAAGACCAAGCATGTTTCGCCACAGCAGAGATCGTAAAACGATGTTAAAACTGATTTGCCTGTTCTTCATCAATGATTATACGAAGTATCAGTTATGCCCGCTCAGTTTATTCAGTGGCTTGAAGGAGAAACATAGTTAGGTATTTATCGATTAAATTCTGTTTGATAAAAACATCCTTGTGGATTGACCTTGAGTTCATATACCTTCATTATTTACAACGATGTACATTAACAGCAGCAACATACTTGCTCAGGAACTTTCAGAGTCTTATTGTGGCCAGCTTCTACAGTGAAGTTCACATTAAATCCGTCTCCTTTGTTACTAGACCACTTTCAAATACCAGGTTGATAAAACATTCTTGCGAGTGCGGATATTTTTACAAATTAATGCAAGAACACAAATATCTCTAAAAGATACTACACCTCATGGCCTAGGTAATAGTTATGTAATGGTTTAAACTACAGACCACGGAAACTAGACGCTAGAATAAGCCATCACAGGCGTTCTCGATGTGAAGTCAAGTTCTCAGATTCCTTAAAAAAATTTCTTCACTTTTCTGTTGCATTGGAGAAAAAATTCTGTATTTTTGTACAAAAATACAACAAACAGATTGGTCTGGACATTATCACTTTTTATTTGTAGCCGATGATTTATTTTACCTAATAGAAACTGACGACGAGCTGCCGCTAATTCATCCGAAAACGTCTTAGTTAATTAATTTACTTCTAGCAAAATATAACCCAAAATTAATTATTCTTGACATTCATACATTTTTAGCATATTATATTGTGTTTTCAATCATCAGGAATAGCATTTTGGCTTAATATACATGGGATTTAGGGAACTCAGAACCACGATAGCAGAGGCTCTGATAAATCCAACACATTTAAAATTTATTACTAGACCTACTGTACCGTTTGAAATCTTCAACCAAAATGTAGGTTTTGGTGTGGAATATTATTAAAACGTCAATGAAATCTACTCAGTAAATCAGCTGTTGTTTTGTAACAGGCTCCAAAATATCAGGGAACTTTTGGCAAAAGAAAAAAACGCATTTTAATTTTCAGAAGATTTTTGTGAAAACGATGACTGTTTTTAATTTTTAGATGGAAGTTCACACAATTTACTACCTGAATTTATCGTTAAGAACTTGCCTCAAAAATTTTAGAAATCAAGCCCATGACATAAATTTTCCCCAAGTATACAAAATCGCCAAAACAGAAGATGCAAGTTACGTTTGCTCCGATACATCATACTTACCCATTAATGAAAGAGAAAAGTGTAGATCTTCTTGTCAATGAGAAGAGGCAGTTCATTGGACAGGAGACTCTTTGGTACTAATGTAAAAAATTAATACGAATTTACTAGCAGCATTTCTGTACTATAGCTAGTTTGATGGTCTAACAGATTATAAGAGCCTAGGTTTAGGCCGCAATAACAAATCAGGGATTGTTGTACAAAAAACGGCTTGATTTGAGATGCCTAAAAAAATATATTGCTTTTTAATTTTTTAAATACACGGAGATCTGGTCATGGTAAAAAACCACAAAAATTTAAGAATGCTGTTTAAAGTGTTCAGACAAAATTATTAAGCACACAAAGAAACGCTTAACAAGAGCCAGTCGATTAAATTATTATCTACTTAAACCGGTAAGAAAATAGGTGTTTTATTATCGTAGATTTAACTTTGAGCTTCAAGCAATGCGTTCTCGTCGATGTTCTCTGCCTTTTAATAGTTGGGAAGCTTAGTTGACTCCGAAAAGCACAGGGGCAAATTTATGGACGGAGCAGAAAAAATTGAATTTCCCATTTTTTAAATGGGACGGAATGGGTCATTTTTAGTGTGATAAAAAAACATATCACAGCTTAAACGAACTGTGAGATTTGAAAAAAGGAGACATTTGCTTGCGTAAAAACTGGAGCAAATTCATTTCATCAATGGACTGATACATGATGGAAACAAAATTTAAAATATTAAGTGTCTTTTCACAATAAAATAAAAAAGCATAAGCGATTAAGTCTTGATTCACATTTAGTCTTTTCCCCGTGAATTTCATATGCGGACGTTTACTGCTCTACGTCAGATACACAAACAGGAAATTTTTTGAAATGGATTACTAAGCAGACACTTTTCAGAAAAGAATAAAATTTTTTGCAAACTTGCTATTTTGCGCGTTTCAGGATAAAGTAACATATCCAGAAAATCTATTTGTTTTTGTTTGCATGTTCATTTCCAGCGGTGGTACATTGAAACTTTTCGCGGCAAATTTAACTGTAAATAATATTCACTAAATTAGCCAAAATGAAGTGTTCGCATTGCGGGGGCGTTAAATTTGATGAAGATCCTGCTCGAGGCGACCTGATATGCGCAGAATGTGGCGTAGTTGAAAGCGAGAATGCTGTTACTTCTGCTGTAGAGTTTGTGGAGAATACTGGTGGCACCTGTACGGCTATCGGCCGTTTTGTTTCTGATGAAAGTATGTTACCAATTATCATTATGTACTATTAACTAATTTTATTAGTCCTAAATGGATGTTAGTCATTTGACTTTTTTCTGGCAGTATATATTAGCGATGTAAATCATTTTGCTTTCCCGAATTATAGTTACAAAACTTCTTTTGTAGCAACTTATGTTGAAAACTCTTCATAGCTGTTTGTTTTGTTACCCACCTCTATTCCTACGTCTTCTTTTCTGTCGCTTACCTGTGGTTGCTTTTATATTACTCTAGGGTTCTATTTTTAGGTAGACTATTAATTCTGTAAAATGCAAATATGCAAAATTCTTCTGTTTCATTACATCCAAACTCCGAACGATTATCACATCATTATATGGGTGTATACCGCAACATTATTAATCAGTAAATTTATTTTAAGAGACATTTTTTATTTGGGCTTTTTGGGGACATTGCTTGATTCATTTTCCTTATATAGGTCAGATGCCAGGCTTCCGCGAATCTCGCTATGTTACTGAGCAGAGAGGTAAGGCTGCTTTTATTTCTGTATTAGAGTAGAACTGGCGCAATAACGCCCCGTATTATGTAATCGCTTTTTAAATTTCAGCTCGGAAACGCATAGATACGATTTGTGGTCAGCTTCGGTTGGGTTCCGACGTCGCCGGTTCCGCTTTTCGATATTACCAGAGTGCTCTTTTCCGCGGATTTACCCGTGGTCGGAGCGCCCTGCAGTTGGCAGCTGCGTGCATTTACGTTGCAGCCAGGCAGCTTCGTGTCAACCTAATGCTTTTAGACTTAAGCGACGCCGTGGCAATTAACGTTTATAGTGTGGGACGTACCTACATTGATCTAAAGCGGCGTCTTAACCTTTCTCTTCCTGAAATTGGTAAGTATTCTGACTTCTTATACTTTTATCGGTGGTTTGTTTGTTTCTTCATGATCTGCTAATTTCCTTTCTCCAGACCCCTGTCTCTTCGTCGAACGGTTCGCAAGCCAGTTAGATTTTGAGGAAAAAACTGCAGCCGTGGCAACAACAGCAATGCGTTTATTGCAGCGAATGAAAAAGGATTGGATCAGCACCGGAAGAAGGCCTAGTGGGCTGGCTGCTGCCTCATTGCTAGTTGCTGCCAGGATCCACGAATTTAACAGAACCGAGGAAGATGTTGCCAAAGTTGGTGAGTCCTGCATAACCTTGTCATGTCCACGCGCCAACTGTACCATTACGTCTTGTGCGATTCTACTGTTTTGTTAGCTCGAATCAGCCATTTGACCGCGCGAAAGCGACTTATTGAGTTCAGCAAGACTCCCAGTTCGGCCTTGAGCATAGATGCCTTCTTCACGGTTGATTATGATGAAGAACAGGATCCTCCCGCCTTTGAACAACCGGCACAGAAACGAAGAATTGTAAGTGGAATTTCCCACCAAGATGTTGTATGTAGTAAGCTGTGGTCCGTTAATTCGACATCATTATTGCAGAATCTTGACGACCTCGACATGGTCCAGGTTTCGGCTGAGATCAAGGAGTTGGGTCGTCGCATCGACAATGAACTAGATGAACTCGCCCGGAAGCGAAAACTCGGTGTAGCCATCAAGGATCCAGGCAAGCTCTTGTCATTTCGTAACTGCAAGCAATTTCATGCCACCCTGTTGTACCTCACGCTGGGCTTCTTAAATATCCTCAAGAAGTCAGCGAGTGGTTAATTTTCTCGGTTTTATTCTTAAGAGTGATCTCGTGACACCCCGAGACGCTGCACACTGACCGCACATTCAAGCATGCTCAAGTCAGCAACCTGCTTTTCTTTCTCGTTTTTCGGGGTATTCGGAGTCGTGTCTGTGCTCGCCATTCACCCCCTATTTTAACACTTTTGTGTATTGTAAATGGCGGCGTTATCTCAGAGCTTAGTCATTAATGTAGGCTGTCCAGCATTAACTACTGGTCCTCTGAGTAGAAATAAATCCACGAACAAGTACGTGATAAGGTAATTTAAAAAGAAAATTGATTTCGCTTATTACAATCGATTTTGTATCGGGTTAAGCACTATTGCCCATCGGATCTGTTATTAATTTGTCGCCTGCAACAGAATTGCGGAATGTTTTTAATGCTCTCGTTACTCCCTCGACGCTGCATTGGTCATATTTCAGTGTTGTCGTTGTTTGACATTTCCTCAGCACATCTTGAGTGAATCATTGTTCTAATTTAAAAATCTCTCTTATCTAGTCTAGAGTGTAGAAAACAATTTGCTTCTGCGCTCAGTTCGGTTGAATTTTGTGTCGACACTTAAATAATTCACCACTGACTTGACGCGGGTTGTGGTGTGCTGGGCCAGTAGGGTGTCCGATTTCGTGTAGGCGAACATTCGTTGTTGTTTTTCTTGTTGTTAACTCTTTTTATTCATGTGAAGATGTTTGGTATGCGTGTTTACAACACGCAAAAGATTTCAACTAACTTGCTTTTGTAAACCATGAGTTCACAATCTCGAACAGACTATCATTCGTTCGTTTTTTTACGGATTTTGGAATTTACCTCCACTAAACTTGGGATAATTTGAATGGCTTTGAAGTGTAGGACGTTCAATTCTAAGGGTCGATTGCACTACTTCAATTCTTACTTGAGCGAGTGCCAAATGCATGCGTTTCCACCAACAACTAGCTTGTGTAACTAGATCACCCACCTCAAAATTAAAAGGTCACTTGTTGAGAAACCTTGAAAAGTGCATGCCCCAATAGTTCTGTTACGTGAACACCTGGGAATAATTGCAATTTCCAAAGCCATTCTCGGTCTTCACAAGCGTTTTTTTGAGTGGAAATGCACTTTAACGTAATCACTCGTTTTCCCGCGCCATCGCATCAAACTGGCATGCCATCTTGCCTTCCGCTAGACCTGGCCAAGTCGAAAGGCCTCAAGCACCTGTTTGCGCCGGACAAGGCCAACGCGGACGCGGACGCGAACGACGACGACGAGGCAGTCACCTCGGCCAAGAAGAGCCGCTCCTCGCGCCAGGTGCTGCGCGACGTCCTCGACGGTGTCGTCGACCCCGACATCCTCGACTCGTGCGTCGAGGACCTCGAGCTGATCACGGCGCACTCGGGGAACCGGCTCTGCGAGCTGATGCAGGCCACGCAGCAGGCGCGCGACGCCAGGGACGCGGCTCTCGAGGCAGCGGCGGGCGGTACCGGCGTCGTCGTTGATGGAGGCAATGACACCACTGCGTCCGAAGACACGAAACACTTCGCTGACACTCCTTCGCCCTCCAAACCAATGATATGTCCAACCGACGGTTAGTCACCTAATTAGCCTAGTGCGAAGCAACTTGATTACTTATCTCATTTAAGTAGACATTTTATTCTTCTTGTTTCACCCATCTGAGTGATGTGATGCGTAGTTGCTGCTCAGGCTCCCATCAGCTTCTTCAGGTTACTTCTGCCTGTAACAATATTAAATAACCCGCTTTTCGCAGGTTATTTTGAAGAACATTCGAGGGCTATGATAGAACTTGTTTTTTTTCTTAAAACTCTTGACTAAACTGGGGCTTGTCGTGTTAAATTACCGAAATCGGTGGGTTTCCTGCAAGTGCTGATATTCCAACCGTCGTTCTTTTTACCATTGTAAGACTAAACGTGAGCTTTCTTCACGCTGGTTTGCTTTAAGGTTTGCATAAACTGGCTTACAGACTAGTTTGAGTGTCGTGTACGTGTGTGTGTGTGTGTGTGTTTGTGTGTGTGTGTGTGTGAGCCTGAATGAACACGAGATTCTGAGACGTTTGTATACCGCACACGTCGACGTCACCGTCTGTCTGGCTTGTGATTCTTGGAAAACAGTAGTAGTAGGGCGTGCAGAACGGCGTAAACCAGATTAGAGGCTAAGTCGAGTGGGATACTTGGTGACGCCGTCAGATAATGCCGTTCCATCAAGTCGAACACTCAGATCCTCAATTCAGTAGCATGAGGGCAGGTGCTGAGGCGATACGACCCGTTCCACGGCAAAAAATTCACAGAGACACGTCCGTGGATGACTTGTAGACTTTACGCCTTTTCTCGTCCCTGCAAAATTCTTTAAAACGACTGAAATCAAACGCCTTTGTGGCCGTCGTTGGTCATACTTAGAACACGTCTGTAAGTAAACCGCGGCTACTGACCTCATAAGAAGTCTTCAAAGGGGTCTAGAGTTTGAATAGTTCCGTGGTGTCAACCGTAGTTCACGTTTCCGTCTGGGCCGTGCTTAGTAATCCACATACACACTCACACATTGGGGGTTTTCGTGTCTGGATCTAGGATCTGTGCGTATCAACCGGCTCTGACGCAATGTAGATGTGGTCATCTGCTTCCGCCTTCGGCATAGTGCAGGCCAAGTTTTTCTGTCTCGTAGGCGAAGGCAACAATCGTACAAAAACACGTTTAATGTGCAACGTATAAGTCTTATAGCATGAGAGCCGTCACAAATCACGGTATTTGTCAAAAAAGGGTAATTCCATATGTTGAATAGTGTGCGTTTAAGTCTTGAGTTGGACGGTCATGCCTTTAATGCCATTCCGTGCACTCCATTTTACTACTTGTGAGTAACCACTTAAACCGCCTTAACTTGCTGAACTGGTGTCTCTAGACAGTTTGGTCTGCTTCGCCTCTTTCCTTGGTGTGGCAGATTACCTGGTGCAGCGTGCAGACTGGTTCCTGTTTGCGGTCCGTTGTGTCTCCTGAAGGTCAGGTCCACCACAGAGGTTGTCCTAGATTATCGTCGGCGACTCAAAAGAATCCGGTTGTAACTCATCATTCTAGATTTCATAGGGAAAAAATAGTCCCAGTAACACTAATCGCCCTTCCCCTCCACCTAAATTCCATCATTAACTCGTCTTTTTTTTACGTGGAACTTAACTTTTAAGTAGTACTATGGCCGGCTTTGGTTTTCGTTTTAATCTCAGGCATCGTTATTTAACGTCTTCGCGTGCGCTTCATGCCAGCTACTCAGACAAATCCACCTCTAGCGATTGACGCGCCAATGCTTACTCAGACAGCGCAGTCACGTGCGTGTATGTCTCCTTGGGGGTGTTTTGACACAGTTGACAAGGTGATGTCGCCCTCTCCCTCGTTCCTGCGTTTGTGCTGCGAACGTAATGTAGATGTTAGGCGCCTCAGGGCCCGCTCAAACTCATTCCTCAACATTTTTAGTGAACTTTATGGCTGTCAGTTTGTCTATAGTTCGGCACAGTATTGTCACGCTTTTGTTGTCGAGCCCGAGGCAGACTCAGACCCTGATTCACTGCACGCCGTCTGCCATCTCTGCCTTGATGAGGTCACAACCTGCGTAGCTCAGTTCACACGTCTACGAGCACCTAATTGCACTGAAATCGAATTAAGACGTTTTTTTCTGACACCAATGTGTCATAAGCTAGCGAGATTTGTTAATTGATGTGCCGATGCGTTTCCATACTTTAAAAGTGCCCTACTGAGGTCGCGTGACGTGCCTTGGAGCCATTTTTTTTCAAGTACCAGCCTCCTCCATGTCTAACCATAACTGATGCTTCATTTCCGGGCTGTTTAACCATGCTGGTGAGGTGTTTAGTGAAGATATGCATAGTGATTTTACTCAAGTACAAGTGGCTGCGGGTCCAAATTCTCTGTTCCGTGGTACAGAGTGGGACACGCTGGAACGCGATTCGCTAGCCTAAGAAATACCAATCATTTCAATTGCGGACCAAGTTAGGGTTAATTAGGTTGTGGTGGCTTTCTTTCGACCAAACACTCACTAGCCTCACTGCCGGTTTTTTTTCAGAGTCCCTTAAACTGCCTCACTTTCTGTCTCCGATCAAGCCCGCACCACCCACCAGCAGCGTGAACAGTAAGTCCCCCTCCCCCCTCCACATATCATTATGGCCCTCTTCGCCACGTTAGTTTTCTACCGTCGGTCAGGAGGTCGATTTCGCTGCTGTCTGTCGGTGCACCACACCCAGAGTGGTGACAGCAATTTTTATTGCATTGTGAATGGACGAAAATGTTGAATTGTGCGGTTTGTAGTGGACTGACAGCCACCTCGCGTGAGCGATGCGTGCATGAGGGCCCGAGTGGACCAATGACTCACCCCTTTTGTTATTGGCTTCTGCAAGGAGTCGCCTGTTACGCACACAAAGCCACTTGGCTGATTCGGCACTAATAGACGGTCGTGTTCTCTGTCGCCGCTTCTCCCTCTTTCCTCGGGTAGTTATGGGCTGTTAACTAGAGGGTTGCAAGGTAGTGCTTAGACCACAAGCCACTACAGGTTTCCCATAGCCATGAGCTCATGGGCTGTGTAACCTTTCGTGCTGATTCTGGTTAAGAGCAGTCAAGAATTCATCGCCAACTCCTCTTTTCTTGTTGTTTTTTTTAGATGGCTCCGACGACCAGAAGGACGTCAAAGGTACAGACCAATCACATCGTTGAAATGCGCTCACCCTACTTGTATGCCCGCTTTACCTTCATTATCGTTTCATTTTAGTGAGCTACGCCATTGATCTGACGGACATTGATGAAGAGGAACTAGATAGGGTAAGAAAGCACGAGAAATTTCCCTTGTCGCAGCTAATCAAAGCCTGTCGCAATGATCCTGTTGTGGTTGCAAGCCCTTGTTACCACCAGCCCTACGTGTCTCGCAGCCGGAGTTATGTCGCTCTAAAGCGTCCAGCCTCGCTTTGGGTTGCTTCGAGCCACGAAACATGCGTCCAGTGCACGATGCATTTTTTGTCGGAACCTTTTCTCTTAACACCCACCAACTAGTCTTTAGCCAGTCCTTGCAGCGAAAGTTGACTCTCTAGGATAAATTTCGGTGATCCATCTTTGGTGAAGGCGTTCGCGGTGTCGTTGACACGCGTGTCTTCGGCACGTGCAGTCCACCGACCCTTTAGATGTCGTTCCACAGGAAGACGAGGACGGTGTGTTTAATGGGTTGATCGGTAGAAGGCAGGAGGGCAACTAACCAGTGACGGCTTCGAGAATAAATTAACGATCGCATTGTTTAAGCTGACGAGTGCGACACGTCGACAGTCCTCTACCTCTCTACACTAAATTACAGGATCAGCGTGCTTGGCTCCGGCGTTTCGTCTTGTTTTAGTTCCTGAAATGCGGGCCCTTGTTTCCCGTGAACGAATTGAAGGCACCACCAACGTTGAAATGTGTATGTGAGGTTAATCACCGTTCCTCTTTTGGTTCCAGTGAAATGTTCACGATTCTATCATCAAATCCCTGCATGTGCCACACTCGTGGACCCTGGTTGTTTGTCATCCGTGGCGGGGTTCCGAATTCGCTGCGAAGTCGACTTTCCACGGCGGTGCACGTAACGCGTTCGTTCATGAACTCAACAGAGAGTTTTGTGTTTACAGTCGTAAATCGTGTGATCAAAGTGAAGGGCGGACGGCAACTAAACTCCTGGCATACGCCGGCGTTGTGACTACAAGATGAGTTGAGTCACGCGGTGTAGAGGTCTAAGACATTTCAGGACACCGTGCACAATTGTTGCGTTTTCAACAAACCAAACACAAGCTGCTTTCTAACTAACGCAGCATTGCAGTTTCGTTATTATTCTGGCCTCGTGGTAAGGTATTTCCAAGTGTCGAGACGTGTCTGCGTCCGTCAGTCAATGGATTTGTTGAAGCCCTTTTCCACACGAAGTAGCCCAGGAAGAAAATAAGTCCAGAGATGGCAGGCACGACCGTTTACTAAACAGCTTAACCAAATAGTGTGTGTCTTACTGATACAGTTGAGTGGACATGTAAAAATACACACAGGCGTCTGTGAGGTCACATGAATGAAACGGGTGGTGGTGACTGACGGGCGCGCCGTGAAAAGGGGGCGGGGACGTGTGTCGGAAGCTGCAACGACCGGGTTGTTGGACGTGAATTAGCACGATTCCCTACCAGATCCTTTAGTACTCAAATTGCTTAGGTAGTTAGCAGTCAAACGTTTAACGCTTGTGTCCGCTTTGTAGGAGTACTTCCTAAACCCCCAGGAGGTCATGGTGAAAGCCACTTTGTGGATCAGCGAGAATGCTTCCTTCCTCGAGGAACAACGACGTATGTCTTTTTTCGCTTTTATTGCAACCTTAGTTGGAATAAGTTCGTTTACTGCGCTCCTAAACTTATCAAATACTATGAACTCGCGTGGCAACAGTGAAGTCGTAGCTTGAACGTGCGAAGTAAATGGAGCACTTTCTTTTTCAGGCAAGAGAGCCGAAAAACAACGGCTCAAAGAGGAATTGGCCAAACAGCCGCGTCGGGTAAGATTACGATGGCATCTTGGGGGTGGTTTATACCCTTTGCTTGCCTATTAAAGAAGTGTGTGGTTCTCCTTTCCCAAGTAGCTTGAGTTAATCAATCTAATTACGACCACGTTGGGTTTCCAGCATTGATATTAGCTCTCTCTCTCTCTCACTTTTAATTATCGAACCAGTGCTACAGCGACTGCTGTTCAAGCTCTGGGTGACCGCTGAAATTTGGCAACATCAGAACCTGTCTGACTGCTCGCGTCATCAGACGTGGTGGCAGATTTTCCGGCAAATGAAGTGCTTCTTGCAGCTTAGCATGTTTATAAACTCAGCAGCGTTCATGGTGAACCCTTTGTTGGCGTCGTTTGAAGACAGTTCGCACTTTCTAAAGGACTAAATCCACACACTCGCTGTTTCATTAGCCACGTCGGGTTGCACGAAAGATCTACCAGCGGCAGCGTCGGATGCCGTGGCACGCCCCTGACAAGCGAGACCCCGCTGGTGCCTTCAGTGACGACGACGAGGCAACCCAGCTGAAGCCGCTGTCGAAGAAAATCAATTACGCGGCTCTTGAAACCATAGTTGGCGAGGGCGCCCGCTCCGAAAAGTCGACGCCTGTGCCCGAGGCAGAGGGGCATGCCTCGACGGTTGACCAGTCACGCGCCCCGCCACGGGCACCCTCCACTGAACGCGCCAATCGGCTGTTGGAGACAACCATTCAAGATTCCTCAGTGCCTTCCAATCTCTTTCCAACGTCGAAATCGTCGCCGGCTTTGCTGCAGCAGGCTCCACAGGAGGAAGAAGACACAGAGTTCGAAGTGGAGGAGGACGAGCCCGAGGACAACGAGGACGACGAAGAGGAGGTCGATTGGCAAGAGGGCGAGGATCTGTGGTGACTTTAGACCCCAACGTGTTGTACATAGTATCTCTTTTGACAATATACGTGATCATTTAAAACAATCGTGGTGGTCTCTATATTACCTGGAAGCTCAATCGTTTCTGATGATTAGTAACGGTGGTGTGCGCCTTAAGTATGTCCTGGTATACCACGAGAAGCGTTTCGGATGCGTAGCCCCTCGTCCAACCGCCGTTTTCCCTTTTATTCTGCTACCTCAGTGCGTTAGACAGAAATGTCGTTAACGCATAGTCCTCGAATGACCTAACTGGGGGTTATAAGTTAATTTTTATTGTGTTGACCTTTCCTTGCACCTCGGGTAATCACTCTATAGCAAGAGATGGAAACTTCGCTTCCCGGAATCCCTCTAAGTCGTTTGGTTATCCATTCGTTTAACAAGTTCCCCATTTAGGCAAAGAGGGCCATAATCTTTCATATCAAATCTCACGTCACCTTAGAAGTAAGGAATTCAAATTGATACACTGCGCCTCCTTGTTTAAATGTGGAACCTTAAAGCAACGCTATGTCTCCTATTCCACAAATTTTAAAGAAGTTTGTTTGATTACATCATTTCCGGTATAATGAGTATTTTTTACCATTTTGGATTCTGGTCGACGCTTAAGGTTTAGACACTTCTAAGTTCCATTAAGATCAGACTGCAATTGGAACAATCGATTCGAAAATCGCCATGTGGTGCGGTGCTAGTCGAGCCCCGCCTGGGTACAGACCATGCTCCCGCTTTATTTTGGCAAACTCACCAATGCCAAATTACCCGGCGGGACCGTTTCGTTTGTTTTATGTACGACCATGGTCAAATGCTCGTGCTAGACTGGCCCATTTCAGTATACACTAACCCAAGCGCCCAATTCGGTGCGAGTATCCTAGCATTTACGAAGCAGGTCGCGTGCCAATTCAATTCGGTATTTTTTTAAACTAAAATCGACTCGTCGAGGCTTGAATGCCAGGCGCGATTCGTCACGCCGACCTCAACTGCACCCGCACCACTCATGGAATGCGCTGGATATCCTTTAGCATTGGTGCCAAGCCAAGCTCACTTCGATATGTGTACTGCGTTCAAAATGTTTGCTGTCGCCGTCTTGCTAATTGAATTCCATACCTACTGAGGCCAAAGTGCAAACGCTGTCATACCGGTGTTCCAGACGTAAGTTGCTTGCAAAAAATACCGTCTAGTCTACTGCGTCTTTGCTACAGTCACGTGAAACTCGCTGACCTTGACCGAATATCAGTGGTTCAAGCACCAATAGGCATTGCAGTAGAACGAGACAACGACGTATTCTGCTTGGAAAAACGAAAAAAAGTGTTACATGTGCAAGAAAGCCCACATGTCACGAGGCTGCACGGAATTAATTGGCTTCTCCCAGGCTGACATTGATTGACAGGGACTTGCGTCGGTGACTTGTCAAATCCGCACTGTCACGAAGCTCAGGCTTTAACGCAGTCTTGGAGGCCAACACAGATAACCAGTCACCAAATTCCGCAAAATGGTTTTCTCTGTGGTTTCATGGAGCTAAGTGAAGTACCGAATTACTAATGGATGAAATTGAGAACAGCGATGATGTATGAATTAGGTGTTGGAGTTGAACTGCGGTGATAGTCACACCAACAGACTTCTCCAGGTGTATTAAAACACTCGGTGTTATTTACTGAGAAATGTGCGTATGGAGCTTCGAGTAAATAGCATTACAGTTCAGTTCGTTTTCGCAAATCCACTGGTTTTGGGGACCTGACTGGCGCAACCTCTCTCTTGCACCGCTTCCCTCGAGGTCCATGTTGAACATCTGCCGAAAAGATCAAAACGCGACTGTCTGCGTTCTAATTGAATGCCTCCGAGAATGTGGCGCAGAACTGAGTACTTGCATAGCCCAAATCACTTATGCTTAACCATGCATCTTAACATTCGAGGTGACCACTTAACTGTCTAACTGAGAAGACAGTAGTTTAATGTGCCGTTTGTTCAGCATTTTTGGCTCTCTTAAACGCAAACAGTACCTCAACCACTGCAAACACTGTCAATTAGTTAAGAATGTATTTTTCGAGCACACAGCTAAGATTTACGCCAGGTTGTAAAGCGAACCTTACCAGGCATTTCACAACTCGACACCTGACACGGAGTTAACCGCGCAATCGTTAAAACCGGTGCCTCTGGACTTCAAAGCATTCGGTGACATGCGATTATAGTTCGGAGATAAAAAAAAATAAGGGAGTGCCTGCAGAAACTACTTACATATATTTGCGAGTAGCGTGCGAAAACGTGACGCCGAACACCAAACAACTATGTCGAATCAACAAAGAATGATTGAGAATCCGGAAAGTTCGAAAACGCACACGTGATATCCACAACAGTAAGTAGTAAAATGTTAAAGCGATGAAACCAGCATTGCAATAGAGCACAAAAAAAGGTCTCACTTAACGTTCGACTAACACTCGTGGATAGTAGAAAACGTCTCCTGTTCCGCTAAAATTCCTTTGGATGAGGAATCCGGACACTTTGGAGACGGTCAGGGGTTACCTTGGTTACATCCTTCAATTGTCCTGAGGGTCTTACGATTCAGAAATCCAAAAATTGACCATAACTAAACAAAGCCATCGGCACCACCCAAGTTAAACCCTTCACCACTTCGGTAACTTGATGTATACCTGCAACCTTTTGCAAGTTGTCGCTCCTCAAGTAACTCAGGGTAAAGTTTCTTCCTCAAAAACGCGGAAGAGAGCGACTCTCGCTGCAAGTACTGGGTGACGGAAGGGCATCACCTTTGCGTTACTTGGTTAAGACCACATAAACCACAACCCATACAAGAGTGCCTACTTCGGTAGAAGCTGCTACACATCGACTGCCCTTGTGGCGCAACCGGCCCGTCCTCTAAACTCTCCTTATCACCCAGACCACGACGCAAATCCTTACGGTGGAGGCGCTGACAATTTTGTTTTGCATGCGCCTCCATACATGTCCCCAAGTACAGCCTGTGCAAATCAACGCGTGTCCCTCGCCTACCACTGAGGATCGTCCCACTTTCGCAATTTGATGATAAAAAAACCTTTCTTAAATCACTGAACACAGGTGTTGGCGTCACAAGTGTGAATAAAAAGACAACGCACGGTACAGTTTGCAAGTCGCGGTACAAAACCACTTAAATCAGTCACAAATAAAAATTATCTACAATGGGGAATGGCCACACCGCTTCGCGCGCGCACGTGGCACACTTCATGATTGTAGAAACAGATGGGGAGGAGGTGACGGGGAGGGGGAGGAGGAAGGGTGGTGATATGTTCGGAAGATGGCGTTTCGTTCTGAGATCACAAACTCTTCAGTTACAAGATGGGTGAGGCGGGAGGCGGGACCGGCGAAACTGCAGCAGTGTTCTTTAATTGTCGAGATCAGATGGGTCGGGGGGATACTACAGTCGGAATTAAGGCTTCGATTAGCAATGTGACACGTATACCACCAGCTTTACGGCGTAAAATCCTACACAGCACACACCCGCACAAAGAGCCACAACGTTGAAAGACAATCGGCGTCCGGATATGCCAATGTTAAAGTCGTATATCGGGTTGTTAGGGCCACACTATGGCGATCGTGGAGAGCCTATCAAAACTCTTACAACTGATTCACACATTGTCAAACAAATGCAGTAGATAAGTTTTGAGTACAACGCCGAGGATGCCAGTTAGTCAGCAATTATCAGCTCTATTAAAAGAAGCAACATCCTCGAAAAACGGCCGGTGGCTGGCAAAAGGGCAATGTGGTGCAAAACCCCTGCAGCCAACGGCGACACAGCAGAGTCTACAGAATGACGGCCGGCGCGGTTAGAAGGGACCTCCAGGCACAACAGAATCGCTGGTTACCGAGCGCAGGGGTTAGCCAGCTGCTAGTGGGTGTAGAACATACCCGTTTTTGGATGAATTTACATTAAATAGACATTGGATGCAAGGTGGATAGGTTCGAGTGTGAAGTTCTGGTATGGTGGTGACCGAGTCTACCAAATATTGGCATATGGTGCAAGTGGAAGTCATGTGAATGAGTTCGCATTCGAGAACACAAATGGGGTGAGTGCAGCTCGTGGAGTCTATGTCTGGAATGGCGGTCGATATCTTCCAACCATTCCATCAATGGTGGATCAATGTCCGGAAGGCTAGAATCGCGACGCAAGGTAAGTTTACTGGTGATGTGACGCAGAAGCTAAAACCCGCAAAATACAAAAATACACTGTGGCGCGTGCAAAATCCAGGCGCAGCATACGTTTGCCGCATCCCACCATCAAAAAAATTAGGCCACTACTTATGATAATCACACACTGAGCTGACATTGTGCAGTGAAGCTGAGACCATGAAATGTTTGGAATGGATTGTGTTAATTCACGTCCATAGTTTCTAGCGATATAGGCAAACACCCTCATAATTGGATAAATTCCCACGTGCAGTTTCTACTTGTTTAAATAAATCACAATTTGCACAAAAATAAGAGTGTGTACAAACAAACTGAAGTTTAAGACTAAAAGGCAAATTCTGAACTCACGTGTTGGTAATACACAGTCATTGGGGTTTTGCCAATCCAAAACATGAAAAGCGCGAATACGACAGCGAATGCCGCGAGAATAAGGGAGTAGAACGAATAGGACATCGTCTCCTCAATAAAACTGTAAAATAAAATTTTAAAATCTCAGGAGAAATTGGGACCCATGCTGGAGGCACGCCACCGGCTCTTTCTCTGTGCTACAACATCTTTCGAAAGTGCAAAAACGAAAAATCTCCAACTTTTGTAACACGGAAGCATTTACGTCGCAAGATAACTTGGTGAACAGGTGAAGACATCGTTAGCATTAGGCAAAAACTAGCAGTGATAATTTCCTTGAAGTCTTTAGGTAGCTAGAAATTTGTTTACGAAATCTAAAATATATTGTACACAAGTTAATATCCTGAACATTTCAAACATGTTAAAATAATAGGTCAGGGGCTGGTTCCGTGGTTCCTCTACTAAACCAC